GAGAGGTGTGAGTATTAGCAGCCATAGGTGTCCTGAGATCTTTGAGAAGGCAAACTGTCTCATCACACAGGCACTAGGGGATGTGGGTGACTACTCAGACTGAGGTGTGAAACTTCAGGAACATACCTGGTAACTGTGAGAATGAGCAAGATACAGTTTGCTGAGAAGTATTAAATGGAGATAAATACTTTCATAAATCATGCTGATTCAGGAGTGCTGGACAGGTCTACTAAGAAGGACTTTATCTGGTCCTCTAAATGTATCAGAAAGTATTGTTATTTCTATTGATGAGGTGATCCTCAGGATCAACATGCTCACGTAGGACCCAAGTATGAAAGTCAGTAGGTGATGCTGATTATAAACCTTCCCATCTAGTTTCATTTTCAAGCTAAGTAAGCAAACCACAGACGAGATGCATTAAAAGTCGAAATTGATCAAAAATTCTAACTTGTAAATTACCAAAGTGATCCTTGGCACATTTTGATGTGGAAACTAGGCAGTGGAGTGAGTTTGGTCTCAGTATGAAATGAGGTATTTGGGGTAACAGTGTGCCTGGAGGCTTTCACATACCCATTTTTCTCCTTCTTCCTCTCTCTTTTCCTCCCTCAGCTTGTGAATCAATTGACTGATTACAACCACATTTGTCAAAGGAATGGTGATCTCAAAAATAATTAAGTTCCTGCAGATTTTTTGATTACAAATTGGTGCTTGTAGAGCTACTTGTTATGCTGAGAGTGTCTCCTGACAAGGTTATGCTGACCCTCCTTAAAGGAGATCTTGCTCTCACTGTTAACAAATCATATTTTGAATGAGATTCTATACGTGTCAGATCTGTGCTTCTAGTGGTCCAACAGGAAGGCTGAATGTGCTGCTTTGTTATTAACTTATGACTGAAAAATGGGAATGCAGATATTATGTTATTTCAGCTAATCAAGTGCTGAAACTTCTAAATGCCAGAAGCTTCAGCCAAACCATAAGGATGAAAAATACACATAATCAATGATAGGTATTTGAAAGATCAATCAGAGAGCATGAAGTCCTTAAACTCATTTGGTACCTGAGCAGGCTAGCTCGTGCCAAAGAAAATACAATTTAGAATGTGCCTGAATTAAAGAGGAAATTTGAGAAAATAACCTTACGAAAATACCCTAGAAACCAAAATAGAGGCATTTATTTTGACTAAGTTATCATATCTGCTTCTGAGTTTCAATTTTATGCTTTTCTTAAAAATCGTGTTTGTAAGTATTTTTTCACAAATATTTTAGGGTATTTTTATTAACTTAGAAGGTAGTCTGCTTAAAAACAGTACAGCAACTGAAATGACATATCAACTATCAAATATTTTGTGCTCACCGTTGCAAATCTAGTCCAGATGAGCTCAGCCAAAAGGCTGATGGATTGTCCAAATACCTTTATCTGAGTGTTTTCTGCAGTTTCTGGTCAAATATCAATACCGGAAAAATTTAAGCACCACAATCAACATTAATTGCCATCCTAAAATGATTACTTGTGTGTAATAGATCTGTGGATTGATGTTGTGTCTTGGGAGCTAGGGATAAGGCATGTCTTGCTCAGACAGCATGGAGGAAGCTTGATTGCTGCTGATGCATTTCCCAATCAATTGCTAAACTGGGAAGGATTTGAGTTGTTGCTTTTAAGGAATAAATTTAATGAGCATGGCTAAACAATTCAAAAGGAAACTAGGGTCATTTCCTCAATACACGCTGAGGTAACCGAAGAAAAATGACTGTCAAAGATGACAAATCTTCACAGACTGCTCTCACTCACCAGAGTTTATGGGTGCTTCATTATATCTACACAAGGCCAGCTTTTTTAGGACCCTCTCAGTAGCTGTAAATATATTAATATTGCAACATAAGTTTTAGCCTTTTGTAGGTTTTTTTTTAGACTAAATTAGGTGTCCCCACGTTTATGTGAGCCTTTTGTACTTTCACATAGATGTTCAGTTGTAGTTTTGCAGATGTTATTACTCATTATTTTTAATTCTTTAGATTTTAGTTTCCTGAAGAGCAATTTTTTGGAATTTAATCTAAACAGGCGAAGACTATAGTATGAGTATAGCTTCCTGAAGACCTCCACTAAGGCAGGCTCTTTAGGCAAGCACAGCATGGCAGATGGTCCCTGCTCTGAAGACCTTACAGCCTAAATACTTTTCTTATCTCCTTCTTTCTCTGAGGTATTAATACCTGATTAATATCTGGCTATCTGCTCGTATACTGTAAGTGCTCTCAAAGGCACCCCTCTCCACAGTATGCTCAGCAACCCAAAGTAGAAATAAGGAGCAGACACCTTTCTGGCTTGCAACAGTTTAAACACTGTTAAATAATATTTTTTGACAAGCACGCCCAGAAGTCAGGTGCTAATTTTCTACAGTCACATAAGGCCGTATTGAATTATCACTGTTCTTGGGAGTTGAAATTCTGTAGATGAGAGTGCAGACCTAGAGGTCTTGTTACAGGTTTTACCATTCATCTCATTAAAAAAAAGAAATGCAAGGAGAACTGCTTCTGCAAGACTGTAAGCAAGGTTCTTGAAACAGAGTTAGATTTGTTCAAAATTATAAATACCATCCATTTATACGTTAACTGCACTGTTTCATACAGGAACTTCCGTGTCTATGTGACCAATCAAACAGGGAAATCCTCTTTGTAACTGAGAGCATTGTTGGAGCTGTGTGGGCTCTCCATGTGCCCATATGACTCCTGGAGCTCTTTGTCAAGTGTTCGATGAAAAAAAAACAACTCTTGGACAACTCGGTTCAGTATAACAGGGATTGGTGACTTGGTAGAAATTTCTGAAGACCCTACAAAGCTTTGCAAGAAAAAAACAAAACACCAACAAGCAGAACACAAACCCCTTCTATTCATCCCTTTCTGATCTGATTCTTTGTCTCAGCTCTTGTTCCAAAGGGCAAGAGGCAGTAGCACCACCAACAAAGCTTCTTTTACAGCCTTTTTTTGGCATTAGTTATGGAAGGATCAGATGTCTGACCTTGCAGCGGTAGGTAAAAGGAGAATGAAAATATCTATATGCCTGACAGTGTTTGAAAGTGCCTGGTCTCCCTTTGCACTGGATCTTGTATGCAGTGTGCTCTAGATGTGCCCATAATGTTAAGGCAGAGGACCAACATTGTTGGCTTTGACAGCTTCTTCCTGGCACTTAGCTGAGACTGTTCAAGTTTGAGAACTCTCTTAACACAAAATCTGCTTTGCCATGAGGTGGTCGTGCACAAATCTTTCTAGATACTAGTAAGGTCACCAAGAACTTTTATTTTTAAGTTATATGTTTATCCAGTGTGCCTCTTATGAAGGATATCCCTGTCCTTGTTCCAGCCCAGAACCCCAGCTGTAAGCTTTATAGACTTTTTTTCAGTGAGATATGTAGGAGTTGGATTTTATTAGCAGATAGAGTGTTTTAAGAATTTAGAGAGGTACAGGTGAAAATCATCCTGTGTGTTTGTGCAATGAGAATTTTCATGTGGAGGCTAAACAGGGTCTTACAATTTGTACATTTTAACTATAATTAATAATATCTCTCCTCAGCATATCTCAGATTTATTCTAGTGATATCAACACTTGCTATTTTAAGTTACCTTACATATGCGTTTCTGTCCACAATATTAACCCTATTTATATCAACATAAAGTTTACAGAAAGGTCTAAGGTTCTGTATTAATGTATGAGAGAGCATTTCTTGTTCTGTACCTCACTGTTGCATTCATTATACAAAATATGTTCATGATCTGCTATGCTTTTCTTCTTTCCCAACTATTCTTTCAGCTTTCATCTTCTTTCTTCTTCCCACACTTCCTTTCTTTCAACAGCTTCTCTATCTGCGGACAAGGCTGTGACCTCCATTTCACCTTAAAAAAAATAATAAATTAAATCAGTAGGTGGACCATGCTGGCATTTTTAATGCATCACCAATGAATTTAACTCATTTACCATGCCAATAATATTAATGGGGATGGAGAATTTCACATTTTGTGACACTATAACTCTCCAAACTTCAACCCCATGCATGGCAGATATATTAGCCAGTCAGTCAGAGCAGCAGACACTTCCTAAATCTCACCACATTTTGGATGCTGCAGGTGGAGGAAGACACTGTTGAGCCATCCCTCTTTTTCTGAGGAGCAATACTACATCTCTGGAAAGGCTAGGCTTGTTGACTTGCATCAATATGTCCTTTTATTATTTCTCCTGTCTTCTGCTGAGGAAAAAGGAAAGATGTGTTTGCAAGATAATGCTCTGATGTTTTTGGGCCACATGCATTGCAATGACCAGGCTGGATAAGGAGGTAGCACAGGCTGGCAGAAAAGTATGACTGCAGATTGGAAAAGGTCCTGCAACATCTGGAAGATCAATCAGGAGAGGGAAAAGGGCCCCAATTTTAACAGTGCACATGCTGAGTCACAAGGACCTTCGTTTCATGGAATGACTGCTAGGCACTTTCCACAAATTACACTTTTTTACAAGCCCTTAAAAGGGCCTCTAAAATTGAAGGCACCCAAATTTACAAGTGATCAGCAATGTTAAGGCACAGGACCCTGCTTGTTGGCTTTGGCTGTGGATTGAATTCAATGTGTTAAAAGCAGAATCCATTGTAGGTGCACACACACATAATTTGATATATATTTTTCTATATATAAATAAAAATTAAAAATATAAATACGTATTTTTATATATTTAAAATATATTTGATTCTGTTTTCAATGGTGTGAAAATACATATATTTTCTGTGAAAATTCAAAACACATGTATTTGGGAAATTAAACTGTAATACATATACTTTATTAGATTATGGTAAAATTAACATAGCCTTTCATATAGCCTTTATGCTGTACTATCTTTTGCCTTTTATTTTGAAATATATCATTCCTTGTTTTGCTCAGAAGCACTGAACACTAGCAACCGAAGGTAAGTTTCAGTGTGACTGTCCACAGCATTAATTATCTTGACACGCTTCTGTTCCTACAGCGAAGATGTTTGTAAACGAGGATTCACTGTTATTATCGACATGCGGGGATCCAAATGGGACTTGATCAAGCCTCTCCTGAAGACTCTTCAAGAAGCCTTCCCTGCTGAGATTCATGTCGCCCTGATTATAAAACCTGATAATTTCTGGCAGAAGCAGAAAACGAACTTCGGCAGTTCCAAGTTCATCTTTGAGGTGAGAGTTACGTAAGAGCTGGATAGTAAAGCATTATCTCTAACAAGAAATTTTCTTCAGGTAATAAAAACATCCCAAGCCTTGTGAGAGAAACAAAGACATCTGAGGACTGTTTGCAGAAGTGGGCTGGTGCCCTGGCATCAGGTTGCCTTCTGAGCACAGTGGTGAAACAGGATGCATGTTTCATCTCAGAGGTTCACATAGATAGGTGGCCTTGGTGCAGCTATTTTTGTTATACTTATTTTTGGTGGTGTTGCATTCAGTCTTTCCTCTGATGCTCTAAGAAAAAAAAGCTCAGCAAGTCAATGTAATAAAGACAAAGTTCCAGATGGTAATATATGGGTTTGTTAGTTGATCTCTACCAAACTTCACACAGTGGATTTTTTTGATAAAATACTTTTATACGTGTTTTGTCACTTCTTTTAATTTAATTGAGTTTTACAATTCAGGGGTAATATTAACAACTCATGTTAATGATAAAGTACCTCAGGTAGGTACCTGATACCTGAAATGATACCTGAGGTATCATTTTCTATCTTACTTACCAACCCATTTGTTTCAGAGAGATGCTCAGATTTTGCATCTCTGGAACTCAGAAGTAGTTAGTTCTTAATGCTGACTGCAATGGCAAGCCAGATTTAAGTATATGGTCTAGAGCTGTTGAAGTCAGTGTGATATAAATACTTTCTTATTTTCAACTTCTCCTTAAATGCACTCTAAAATTGCAATAGGCAAGACTGGTGTTGACAAAGCATTAGCAAAGGTTTACATAATTATCACTATTTAAGTATTTGTACCTTTTTCTCTCTCTCATCACAAAAATGAGTCAACTCATAGATTTTGCTTTGTTCAAATGGGTCTTTACCTTCCCTGGCTACCTAAGAGGACTCAATCATCAAAATAACTTCCACTTGCTATCTCCTATGCACCTTTGAATGCAAAGCTGTCTTCAGTATAGGTTTATGTCACACTGGCAATGCTGCCTGTGGGAAATGAGAGGGATGGGAAAGGGCAGTGGGAAGGAGAAAGGACATGTATGGCTACAGAAGGATGTGGAGTTGGAGGGAGTCTATGCAGAGACTAGTAGAAGTAGCTTTTGTGGATGGGGAGCTCTGTTTCAAATACAAGTGGGCACTAAGGGGCAATCCTATAGAAGCCCAGGAAGAGACAGCTTGTGCATGTATATCCAACAGTAAATTTTACCCCTCCAGTATTTCAGTAAACAAAATCAACATCTTCCTAGAGCTTCAAACCCTAGAAGTAAAGTAACAGAGTTCATATGTATATTTTTAGAATATTTGTTTGATTTTAAAATTAATTAATGCTTTCTAGAGGCTTGACTTATTTTTTTTTTTGTTCTGTAGAGTTGGTGTGATGATAGCAAAGAGTAAACTGTGGTCAAGCTATTATTCACAGTTACAGCTCTGAGTCTGTATTCTGTTAAAAGCTCTGGACTTGTTTGCTGTACATGCTGGCACGCTGTAAGGGTGTTTTCATTTTGTGTGTGTGCCTTTGAGCCTTTGCTGGACTGTGCACATCAGTGTCCTTAAAGGTTCACAAATTTTTGGACCGAAGGAGGAGGTTTGATGCTTTCACTGTCTATTGAGCCACTTGCAGACACTCAGAACTGATGAGTCCTTCTCATCAGATTTCTTAAGCTGTGGTCCACTATACAGTAGACCCCCTGCAAGACGCAAACTACAATCCAGGAACATTTTTAAACATTTTGTGGCTGCTGCTGCTGCTTATTGGTAGGCTCAGGCACTGGGGCAGCTCATGCTCTCTTCTAAGAAGAACTGTGAATATCAAATAAGCATTATAAGTCAGTATGTCTCACATTTATTTGATTTGTATGGGGTAGCACACAAGTATGGTCTCTGCACTGAACCAGCATGGTGATTTCCCACAAACATGAGGTTCTTGGCAGGAATAGACTGCAGGGAAAGGCAATGCAAGTCTCTGTCAAATTACCCCATCTAAAACACAACAGTAACCACTGTCAGTTTTAAGGCCAGATTCTGCTTTTGAGCTTAATGGAAGCATTATACACGTGCCAGGGCAGTGCATGACCCTTAGTAGAGGGTAATGATCTGGATTCTGTATTGTGAGACTGGCAGAAGGAATCTGTGTTGCAGTCCAGAGAGTGAAGCATGGCCTCAGATCATCACACAAAGAAAAGAGGGAAAAAAAGGTTTTGGTTGACATGTGTGGAATCCAAAGCTCCCTGTCACTTGGAGGAAAGGACCAGGCAGCTTAGTTAGCATTAGTTCATAGGTGCCTTCAAGATTATTTTATTTACCCTGCTGAAAAGGTATAAATCCTAGAAAATAGTTTATAAGTGATTTCTAAAACGGCTGCGTGATGCCTAAGAGACAGTTACTTTATCTTACCAACTACCTGCCTACCTAAGGTTGTTTCATGAGAGTTTCAAGAACTCCTTAAAGGAGCAAATCTGAATAAAGAAATTTGCCACAGGATTCATGAATTGAAAAGCCTTTCTGTTATATAATCATGTCAGATTCTGTTCATGATCAGAGCAGTGCTTACATTCGCTTGACATACTGCAGGGGGAATGCCCAGGTACTAGCCATGAAGATAAGTTTTTCCTTCACAGGCAGTTAAATTCTAAATTGACTTCTCTTAAAGGCATCAATATCCAGGTCAAAAGGTTTAGAAATTTGAAATCCCATTGACTCTTCCCTCTGTCCTCCTCTTTCCCCAAAGCAAAGAGCATTGCAAGAAAGCTCTAAAATAATCTTTCTGCCGAGTGTAAGTTCAATGCAATCTCAATTTTAATACATTGCAGAATGCTTGATATTTTTAGATGGATACAAACAGAAAAAAAAAGCTAGTGGAAAGCCTACTATTTTGGACATAATTCAGCATAATGGACAGGATTTGAGGTATTTTTCTTTGTAGGTGAGTTTTACAAGATTGCTGTGATTATTGGGTGCTTCCAACTTCTGAAGAGCACAGACTGACATTCTTTAGAGGCCTGGTCTTTAGGGGATAGATGTGCAGTCACTGGTGAATATCATGAGTGACTGAGGGCTGCCAACTTGGGTGTTAACATCACAGCACTGAAAATTTCCAGTAACATATGAAACCCTATGGTCATATTTCAGAAAAATATAATTTGTCTAAAATAAATGGGAACAGCCACCAGTTGTTGGGTCCTTAAACTGTAATCTGCTTTGCAGGCACTCAGTGCATTCTTCTATCACTGGTTACTGAATCTGAATGGAAGAAAATCATCTCTCCTTGATTGTGTGTGATTCATGAGCAGTACTTTCTATTACTAATAAATTCTAATTGTTAATACTGCAATGACATTTCACTTTTACATTGATCTTGGCTTAATTACATTACAAATTACTGATATGAAAGAGATCTGCCTGTGGCAAAAATCAACTGGAATAATCTGGAAGAAAATACCAGTATTTTCTGTGTTTGGCAGGTCACAACATTTGTTTTAGTTCATATGCCTAAAACTTTTGCTGCTAATAGCCACTAGCCTGAGTGTAACACAGGTATCAGAAGCCCTGTTATACCTTATACCTGTTCAGTCAACAATCACATCCAGAAAGCTGCAGTAAGAAGTCTCCAGTGTCGAGCTGGGTTAAAGTGACATATGGCAGAAACATTCTCACTACATGATTTTGATAGTTGGTCCAGTTGAAAATGACAGACATTATTCTAGGAAAGAACATGCCTTTTAATAAATAAATAAATTACTGCTAGTAATAGAAAAGTTTTCAATCCAAATAATTTATCAAAATTAAGCAGTGTCCTCAGCATATTTTACAATGTTCCTCTAATTATGTATTGATGAGGAAAACAATCCCTTCATGCTATTTATGGATTGCACTGTCCATAGAATCATAGAATGTCAGGTTGGAAGGGACCTCGAGGTTCATCTGGTCCAGCATTTCTAAGTACTACTATAGTTTCTATGAGATGGCTCAGCACCCTGTCCAGCTGAGACTTAAAACTGTCCAATGTGAGGAAATCTACCATTTCCCTTGGGAGACTATTCCAATACTTGACTGTCCTCACGGTGAAAAATTTACTTGCACTGTTATTTCTGGTAAGACAGACTCTGATTCAAATGCTGTAATTTTCCTTCCTTAGACAAGTATGGTATCTGTTGAAGGCCTGGCAAAACTCGTAGATCCTTCTCAGCTGACGGATGAGTTTGAAGGATCCTTGGATTACAACCACGATGAATGGATAGAGCTGCGCGTCTCCTTGGAAGAGTTTTTCAACAGTGCCATCCATTTATTATCAAGGCTGGAGGATCTCCAGGAAATGTTGGCAAGGAAGGAGTTTCCCGTTGATGTTGAGGGCTCAAGAAGGCTGATTGATGAGCACACACAGCTTAAGAAAAAAGTCATTAAAGCTCCTGTGGAGGAACTGGACCGTGAGGGTCAGAGGTTATTACAATGCATAAGATGCAGTGATGGTTTTTCTGGTAGGAACTGCATTCCTGGAAGTGCAGATTTTCAAAGTCTTGTGCCAAAGATCACCAGCCTTTTAGACAAGCTACATTCTACCCGGCAACACTTGCATCAGATGTGGCATGTCCGCAAGTTGAAACTGGACCAGTGCTTTCAACTCCGGCTTTTTGAGCAAGATGCTGAGAAGGTAAGAAATAATCTGTTCCTTCCATATTTTCACCAAGCCTTTATCACAAGGACACTGGCCATTTTTTTTCTGTGATTAGCAACATGAGGTATTAGGTGTACATCTCAGCGGATGTACTTTGTGTGACTCATAAACTAGATTCACTGAACTAATTGTTGGATGTAGCAGGCATAATGATATCCAGTAATAACTTGTCTGTGTCACTTTTGATGAAAGTTAATCTGCTTTTTTGTGTCACAGTGGGTACATTTGGTAGACATTACCACAAGAGTCAGGCTTTTTTGGGGGGTTTTGTTTACTAAGCTTATGAATATATTTATCTACATGTCACAGCACCTAAAGAAGTTACGGTTTGATTCACTGTGATTAGCATTTGCACTTTTTATGGGACTATAGGAAATTTGTGGTTTAAGTGCTCCTATTTGTTATCTCAAACAACATTTTCAGTTTCCTGTTCCTAGTTAATTGAACCAGGACTGGCAACTGGTAAAATCTTTAGTTATGGCTTTGTACCAAGGACATGGGCACTTAGTTCCCACGGCATAAGTTCTGAGATTGTGTCTAGGTTAAACATATAAACAGGCCGAGAGAAAAGTATTCTGAAATGACTGCAGCATGTGTTGTGCAAAACACACTCAGTGTGGCTGTTTTGCATTAAAAAGCACATGTGGATGGCATTTGAATTTGTATCTGATGCTGAGTCAGTGCCCAAGATTCCTGTTCACCAGCACTAGACTTTATTAGAGAAATATTTAATGTTAAATTATTCCATATAGATTGCATTGCTACTTCATAGTTCTTAGATGTTTGTAATGTAGCCTATCAGCCTGAGAAGCACAGAGTGTTTCTTGAAATGAAATACAGGGTACAAAAAAGTATTTACAGCAGCAGAAGCACAGGTAAGTAGCATGGCTTTAGGAAGCTATAGTTTCACAAGTGTGCAGTACTGCTGCAGAGTTACATTCCTATTCCCTGCCTCTTCAGAAGATGCTCATGCAGGAACCTGCAGCAGCTTGGGCAGTCCCCTGCAAGCAGAGCTTAGCTGCTTGTCATGTTTGTTAAAAAAGACTGGCTAAAAAATAACCAGGGTCTCATACAAAACACCAGCTACAGATTTCTGTAATATATAATAAAGCAGGCTTCTTACAACTTCCAGTACTCATCTCTTTGCCTCTGGAAACACATGCAGGTACTGATGTTGGTGAATTTATCTTAGAAAAATGAGTTGTGCCAGACTCTTGGCAGACTGAAGTGACTGACATCTTGTTAGGTGGTTTAGTGAGAGGTCTGCTGCTCACGTAAAATTCTAGGACAGAATAGGGTATTCTCAGTGGAAAGTACTGAGCTCTCACACTTGTGTTTATCTAGTCTGTGTATTCATCAAAAGTACCAATCTCTAAAACTTCTCCACTTAATGTATGATCCAGCTGTTGAATGTGTCTGTCATGACCCTGGAGGAATAGCAAAAGAAATGCAGATCTCAGTAGCAGAGGGATCTTGATGTAGGTATTTTTTAATTATTTTTTTTTAATCAGCTGCAAATAACTATTATTTTTAAAACATCAGGGAGAAGCATGCTGCTGAAACAAATATAATCCTTAGTAGTGCAGAGAAAGATACAAAAGATTGGTTTTTCAATGCATGTATTAAATATCTTTAAGAGATACTAGGACTGAAATGGCTCCATCATTATACAAATCAATCCTCCTATTGGGGAAACCTTGAATTCTGCTAAGTCACTCAAAAACAAGAGCCACTGCAGAATCACTCAAATCACAAGAGCAGTTTTTCTTCCAGGTTCTATAATTTATTCTTCTTCTCCCTTTTCCTTGTGTGTCACATGCTATAAGATCACCCACTGCTCTCCTTCCCAGAGGTGGCTGTATTTCAGTCAGTGCTTCCATTTGGATTTTCAGTTACTTTGGGATTATTCAGATGACCACTGCTTACTTACATAATTATTATTTTTTATTTGTTATTATTATTATTTGCTAATATTATTAGCAAATTACTTTTATTTATCAAATTGCTGTTATTATTAATATTAATGTTATAAACTGAAAGGCTCTCAGATCAAATCAGTGTCTGAGAAGTTCTTGTTGACAAACACTGTTCTGTAGTGTTGAAGGAAGTCTCCAATATATTTTTCCTTCCTTCTTTCCTGAGCAGGCATGAAAGGATGGTGTGATACAGGTCTGAGCCTTATGACAGCTGGATTCTTTGCATGTGTCTGATGTTAAGTGTAAGGTTTAGGCAGGTCAGCAGATTAATTGAACTTTTGAGGTGAAGGAAGAAGCAGTGAGAATGCAATTCCTGCCATTCCAACACCGGTGGTCTCCAACAATTCCTGACTGACAAAACTGGCATTTTGATGTTCTGTAAATCTTTTCTTCATCTGCCTGACACTAAACACACAGTCTTGCTTTGGCTTGTCTGAGTACCTCCACTTGCCTTTTCTTGACTGCTACACTTTCACAATGAATAGAAAATCTTCTGTTGTTTTATACTCTCGCATAAGTGTTTTTAATCTTTTCAGTTTGTGAGTCCCTCAGATTCTTCCAGGGAAAGCTGTAGACCCTTTTACTTTGCATTTTGCACATGTAGGCTGCTGTAAAACATCAATGGCTCAAACCAGGACATTACCTTTTGCAGATCTCTTTGAAGTAGTCCAACTATCTCGGACTGGAAAGTACTTGTCTTACAAAATGTTCAGAGCTAAATCCAGTCTGAGCACTGTCTCCACTATATAAATAGCCACCACAGTGTGTCTGTGTATTGCATTTTCAGGCTTCCTGGTAACTTAATTTGCTAAGTTGCACTCTATTCTCTACAATTAGGTATGGTAGCAGAGCCATGATGGTCTTCATCTCCTGGGGAGAGGCACAGCTCTTTCCATATAACCTGGATATGTCATTTAGTCCTAATCAAATGACAAGTCTAATACCCTGTGAAAGCTGAAGACCCAACATAAAATTTGAAATATAAACAAGGTCTTAGGACCTTTAAAAATATCTCTGTATACTCATTGGATGATATTTTAGGAAACCTGTTCTAAGAAGGAGAAAACGGATAAGGACTTTTCATTTTCTGGACACAACCAATTAAAAAAAAATAAAAATCAGGTGTCCTCATTGCCTGAGAAGTTCATAAAGATGGGATAGGAAAAAAAAAACAAAAAAAGGGAGGGGAGACACAAGAAGAAAAACACACTATTTTGTGGTAGGTTAATTTTTTAAGACCTTGCTATTAAAACACTCCAAATCTTTAAAGCAAATAAATTCATTTTTTCCCCCCCCCCTCTAGATCCTTTCTATTAGAACACTTCTAAATAACAGGCACTGCCTGAACACAAGAATTATACAAATTGCAGGTATTACATCTTATGGAAGGTCTGCATAGTTGGGTGCTGAGCAACTTACATTACTGGCAAAATAGAAGGAGGGGGTGACAGTCAAAACGTGGGCTTCTCCCACTCAAATCAGTAGGAGAGAGCAGAGTTGTCTGTGGTGAAGCTTTGTCTCCAGTTCAGGCCTTTAGGTTTTCATTTTCCTGTGCTGGGGCCAAGGGAGAGGAAAAGTTGGGCTGTCACATAGGCACAAGCAGTGCAGCGAGATTGAATTCCCAGATGGAGACTGGAAGCTTCTTGGAGCTTAAGTCAGCAGGCAGGTCAGCCGTGTGGGGAGCTTTGGCAGAGTGGTGTGAGGAAGTTCACATGCTGTGCAGCGCCGACTGTAATGATCTGCTGATAAATACCACATTTCAGCTGCTGGTGTACCCTGACCCTCACTGCTCAACAAGTTCATTCCTCACCCACTAATATAGGCATGCATGTGTATGTATCTAGTTTTGCAACTAGAACTGAGACTTCACTGTGTTTTTACTGGATAACAGGGAAAGTATTTTTAGCCATCAGTAACATGAAAAAAATGTAGTCCAGTCTAAATTGAATATTGTTTGAAAGAGAGAAAAACCCCACAATCAGTATAGATCCAACTATTAGAACTATCTGAGAAATGTTAATTGGTTCATTGAAATTTGGATGGGGAGAAGAATTCAGGCAAGAGTCCACATGTTTTTGCCCTTGAATAAATACCAAAAAAAAAAAGTTAAAAAAAAAATGTTCTTACACTCCGTACTTTCCAGCTCTTCTGGAAATCATTTGTTGCTGGCACCCAACTTGACTTTTGTAGGAATTTCCCCATCATTCTGGTATGGTTCCATATCAATTTTACTACCCTGGCATGTATGTGAATGAAAAACAGTTATCATGATGTAACCAGTGTTGTTCACATTAAGTAGAAACAATATAGTCATCAGCTGGACTGAACCAAGGATCTATGGTAAACTTGTAATGCCAGAGTGAAGAAGGAGCAGGCTGCTGAAATATCATCAGTCAGCCTCTAACAGGAGGCAGAGGAGACTTTGTTCTCATTGGTCCCACTTTTCCTTCTCCTTCCTGACTTTTTATGCAGTCCACAACAACAAGGCACAGTCCAAAAGATGGCTGTGGTAGCTGGGAAATGCCACAAATGAATTTTTCTTGACGTTTGCTGTGGAAGAAAGATTATATTTGGATAGGGCCAGCTTTGTGGATACTCTAGTAGCAAACCACAGGCCACATCTAGTCTTTGAGGGGCAGTGAAGCAGCAGGCTTGCAGTCAAAACCATCTGCTTCATCTATACTAAAGCTTCCCTTTGAAAAATATGGTTGTGCCTGTGATTCTCCCCGTGGAACAGGCTGTGGGAAGCTGTGCTGGCTGCTGGGGGCTGCCATGGTGCTGCTGCTCTGAGGGTGGCTGCAGCAAAGGGAGCAGAGGGCATGGCCTGCATCACCTGCCCTGCAGCAGCTGCTGCTCCCACAGCCCAGGTGGTGTGACCAGCCTGGAATGGCAGGAAGATTTAAGTGAGTGTAGGAGTGGTCAGAATGTGATAATAATGCAAAGTTCATGTCATAGAAGGTAAGTTTTGAGGTGGAGGTGAGTAAAAAAAATGGTTAAGTG